TGAAAGGGTGGATGACTCAATACAAAGATAGATAGGAGAAGAAGAAGCTGAGTTCAGTGCACACTACACTGAATAAAGAAGTGAAAAAGAGTGCAGGGAAAGACAAAAGACGATTCTACGGCATACTGGCTGGCAACTTAAGCAGAACTGGCAGGACGCAGGTAAAAGAGACCTCAGATTGTCTCCTTTAGCTCCTAGAGGAACATAGGGCTTCAGCCGCAGGTTTTCACCTGGCTCTACGCCTGCCCACATGCTTTCATCTCCTTTTCACATAACCTCCCCAATGTCACCCTCACGCTGACGACCAACTCTCCGCTTTCCATTTGGGTTCCACTCGAGCGATGGCCTGGCGTGTGATGTCATTTGATAGTTTTTTCAGAGTATGACCAATCCACCTCTATTTCTTCCTGCAGATTTGTTGTACAATCGGTTCCTGGTTGGTCCGCTCCAAGAGATCCATTCCTGTTGCTGATCTTTTCTGGCCATCTGATCTTGAGCGAAGTATTGAGTGGAGACAGCTGTTGATGAAGGTCTGTAGTTTTTTTCAGAGTGCCCTTCGTGATGCGCCAAGTCTTTGATCCGTATAGTGGCACTGACTTCACATTGGAGTGGTAAATCCGGATCTTATTTTTCATGCTGAGTGTTGCTGACCTCCACACAAACTTGAGAGAAATGAAAGTTTACCTTGCTTTCCCAATCCTCGCTTTGATATCCTCGTTAGTTCCATCCGCCTGTAGTTGAAACGATGCTCCCCAGGTTGGTAGGCAAAGGAAGTTGCTTCTCTCAGATTTCTCCCATTTATGTTGATTGTTGTCTGTTGTTCTTGCTGTTGGCCAGGAATCTTCATTAGCTCTGCTTTCTCTATGTTCACCTGAAGTCCTATCTTCTCCGGATGCTTCTTCTGCCAACTTGTTGCTTTTCATTTGCATATCGTCCAGTTTGTGGGAAATCAGATATATATCATCGGCGAAGTCCAGATCCTCCAAGTTATTCGTGAGGGTCCATTTTATGCCTGTTTCCTCGTAGCCCGTGGTCTGTCGCAATCAGGAAAATCATTAGCGATAGTAGGCAGCCTTGTCTTACTCGTCTTTAATTCGAAGGATTCCGTGAGTTTCCCGTTGTGGATTACTTGGCATGCAGCATTGTTCTACAGCTGTTGGATGAGATGTATAATTGTCGGTGGCACCCCGTAGTAGCGAAGTATTTGCCATACCACCTCTCGATCGACGCTGCTGAAGGCCTTTTCAAAGTCAATAAAGTTGAAGTACAGAGCTGACTGCATTCCAAGCTCTGTTCAATGATGATCCACAGTGTTGCAATTAGATCGATACATGAATTGTTTCTCCTGAATCCAGCCTGTTTCGGTTGATTCTCTCCGGCATTATACGGCTTAGTATTTTCATTTTCAATGCTTCTGTGGGGATCCTGTCTGGTCCTGCTGCTTTTCCAGCTTTTAGCATCTCTATGACCTTCAGGATTTCTGTTCTCGTCGGAGGGTTGATATCCACTGGTAGTTCTGCTTCCACTGTTGGTATTATTGGCAGCGTTATAGGTGGCGTCCGATCTAGAAGTTTTTTGAAGTGTTCAGCCCAGTGTTATCTTTGCTCCACTTCTTTGGTGATTAGATTCCATTGTCGTCCTTCTCTGGCTTAATTTGTGTTGATCTCTTCCCCTATAGGAACCTAGTTGCTTGGTAGAGTGTTGGGAGGTCTCCTTTGCCTGCAGCTTGTTCTGCTTCACTTGCCATAGCTTCATAATGTTATCTTTTGTCTTCCCTCGCGCTCCTCTTTACTCTTTTGTTCAGTGTCTTGTAGCTTGCATTTAACTTCTGTTTTTGTTGCTCGTCGATGCACTGGACAATCTTTTGTTTCACCATCCTCCTCTCTTCCATTAGTCTCCATGTGTCTGTTGTGAGCCAATGTTTTATCCTGCCTCTTCTTTCTACCTAGAACTTCCGTGCACATTTGACTCTACACGGCTGTTCCAGTGTTTTTCAACGCTGGTCTCTTCGCTAGTGTTGATTTGTGTCTCCGCCTTCTTCCTTATGATAGCAGTGAATTTGTCTTTTGTGGTCTGATCCTTCAATTTTTCAGTATTGAACTTGACTTGTGATCTATCTGCAGCTCCTGTTTCTCTGAAAGTTTTTAATTTGATTTGGATTGTTCCTTGCATGAGATAGTGGTCCGAATCGACATCTGCTTCTCTTCTTACTTTTGTATCCAATAACATGCGTCTCTACTTCCGTGAGATTGAGATGAAGTCACTTTGGTTTTCGGTTCGCCCATGTGGTGACACCCATGTAGCCTTGTGGATATTCTTGTGCTCGTATACTCTGCCACCAATCACTAGTTCACTGAAGATACAGAAGTCAGCGAAGAGTGATCCGTTTTCATTCATTTCTCTGAGTGCTCCTCGATCCATTATGAGTTCTATTCCTGTGTTGTCCGGTCCCAGTTTGAGTTTCACGTCGCCCACTGGAATTTTAATGTCATCGACTGGAGTATTGTCCATCGTTGCCTGCAGAACTGTTATTTCTTTTCTAGGTCCGCGTTGTTTGTGGGTGCATAGCACTGTATTATTGTTACTCTCCTTCCTTTTCAGTTGAATCTAACGGTCATTATCCTGGACGAGATCGCTTCTAATCGTATCAGGGCCTTTGTTGGCGTTGGTAACATCATGATAGCCACGTCATCGGTGTGCTCGTGGCTGTTTTCTGGGTGACCAGAGAAGATCAGTGACTCTCCCGTTGAAAATTAAGAGAGTCCACTCCCATTCCGTCTGCTTTCACATATTCTCAGTATTTCAGTACTATATCTCTTCACCTCATTTGCAATCTCGGCAGCTTTGCTAGTCTCATACATAGTGCGGACATTCCATGTCCCGCTCATACTTCTTCCTTCGTCGCAAGGAGACGCATCGTACTGAAGTTTCTGTAGTAGTTTTCCTTACAGGATTGATTTGCTAGCCTCACGTCCAAGAAAAGAGTAGTTACAAATAGATGTAAGTAATAGAGGAGAGATTTTTTGGGTTTTTCCCTTTTAGAACTATGAAGATAAGAAGTAAAGCAATCGGAACATTAACAAAAAAACACGACAGGAAAAGCAGCGACAACAACAAAAACCGTAGCAAAATATTACTGTTAAATGCAGTTATCGGAAATAACACGAAAAGCAGAGACTCAAAGACTTGGGCATGTAAGTTCAATAATGTATACAATTATAGATATCAGTTAGTGTTTTACAGTCACAAATTGGCAAGCAGTTAGTTATGGGTAGTAATAGTAAACAAGATTATATCCACAGGATCAGCGTTCGAAAGCGAATGAATTACAATAAATTCCACCACTTCCTGTTCAAAAACGTCAGAGAAATGAGTGTTTTATGTAAGAAAATCGATACAGACAGATTTTGATTAGCTGTTGGCTAGTTGGCCTGATAATGATCTAAAATATTAGTCAAGGCGTTAAGTTTCTTATTTTCACACGAATAGCTACTGTAAGGCGTTTTTCCAATGTTTAAACTGTATAGTTGTCTAATTTCAGGTTGGCCACGTGACTTGCAGGGATTGGTCGCAACGGACGAACAACAGGGAAACCCTTCTCCTCTCACCTGATTGTATTATGATTGGCTGTAAATAAAATCCTTGACCTTGACTATTCATTCTTACTAGCACGCGGCACTTGTGTGATCACTCTGCTAATGTGCGCTTTGCTCTCTGTTACAGATCACTGCTTCATGATTGGCAACACAGTAAAGGCAGGTAGACAATGGAATTAAAGATTTACCATATTATAATGGCGTGTGAATTTTTTGGTGTGAGTGTGGTGTGATGAGTCACACACTATTTGGGTGCAATAATGGTTTTGAAATTACGCTGAGACGTATAAGAATTTTTACTGGGTGAAAATAATTCAGCAATAATTTTGAGACATTTGGGTCCCAAAAGAGGATATATACATTTTTTACTGACTAGGTGAATATTATTCAACTACACTTTCTAACCATTTATTCTATGTCTTTGATTAAGGTATATACATATTTTAGTTGATACATGTTTTGAAGCTGTCAGTTCAGTGACCTATATTTCTTGGACTTAGTGGGTGAATATAATTCCACTGCAGTTTACTAGGTCACGAAAGTGGTATATAATCACTGAAGTATGTATTATTATTCATCTGCTTAAAATCAGTGTTGTGTTCGTTAAGCATTGGTAATTCCATTACATGATGTGGCAAATATTACACACAAATCAAAAGGTGCGTCGAGGTCTCTATCCTGGAAAAGACCAATGCAGGTGAAACCAATGAAAGATGGTCAAGGGAACCAAATTACCAAGGAGGAGAAGCATTAATATAAGAATAAAACTTGGGCACTGTGGTAGAGTGTAATTCCATTATGGGTAAATTTTATTTTGATAGAGTCTCACAGTAATATTTACTGATGATGTTTCGAGCACAATTTATTGCTCATAATCATATCAAGGTAATCACACGACTTCCTAAATTCATTTATATAGTTCCATTGTTTTTCACTTGATTTCCACTTGATTTGATTGGTAGTATTATTTTCCATATTTCAGGTATGAGTGATGATTCATTCCTATTGCATATGTTGGGTGTAGATTCGATGAACAAAGATTCAGTAATCAACCTCTCTCTCCACCTACCTAGATTACTTTTTAGAATTTTAACCCTCTCCCACCCTATTGTGTGGTTGTGTGTTAATGCATGCATTGCAGTTGCCGAGCTTTTTCTAAATTACTTATCTTCTCTGGGTCAACCATTCTTACCTTAGCTAAATTCTTATGTTCTGACAATCTGACTACCCCTGACCTACTAATTTGACCTATGTAGTTGACCTCACAGTCATTGCAGGGTATTTTGTAAATTATATTATTTTGTCTAATTGGGTCCACTGGGTCCTTTAACCTACAGAGCTTGTCCCTGAGTGAGTTTGTAGGTTTCAATGCCACCCTAATTCCTGCTTTATTTAGAATCCTACGTAGGGTCTCAGATGTCCCCTCTTTATATGGTATAACTGTAGATGACTTATATTCTCTCTTATTTATGTTATTATTACCAGTTTCACAATTCTTTTTATTTTTCTTTTGGCGTTTTTCAATCTTCCTAATGAATTTTAGAGGATAGTTATTTAGAACCAACGCCTCTTCTATCTGTTTTATTTCATCATTTAGGTCTTTTCTTGTGCTACTTAGTGCCATTGCTCGGTTTGTTAAACACTTAACTAAGCCTGCCTTAACAGTTAAAGGATGAGATGAATTAAAGTCTAAATATCTATTAGAATGCGTTGGTTTTCTATACACACTAGTGTGAAGTTTACCTTCTTCTATTCGTTTTATTTTACAATCTAGCATAGCCAACTCTCCTTGTTCATCTTCCGATTCAAATGTGAATTTTATCCCCTCTACTAGTGAGTTAATATGTGTCAAGAAGCTAGAGATATGTTCTGTTTTTAACACTGTGAAAGTGTCATCCACATATCTCCACCATATTTTTGGAGTAGGATTAAACGTATTAAGTGCCATATTTTCCCAGCTATCCATAAATATATCTGCTACGATAGGGGGTATTGGTGATCCCATTGCTACACCTTCAGTTTGTCTATATATTTTGCCTTGGAATCTAAAGATAGTAGATGTGAGGCATAGCTGAATCCCTAAAATAATTTCTTCAATGGACAGCTTTGTCCTATGATTGAGTTCAGTATCCGCAGTTAGTTCTTTTTAAACTGCTTCTAAGACCTAAATGATGAAATAAAACCGATAGAAGAGGCGTTGGTTCTAAATAACTATCCTCTAAAATTCATTAGGAAGATTGAAAAACGCCAAAAAAAAAATAAAAAGAATTGTGAAACTGGTAATAATAACATAAATAAGAGAGAATATAAGTCATCTACAGTTATACCATATTTATTTATTTAAACGCATTAGAACTTCGTACGATATGGCACCAAGAAGGATGCGCCACACAATAATAATAAAACAACATAGATGAAAAAAAAAGGAAGGAAGGCAGGAAAAGAAAAAATATATATATAAGTAGAGAACGAATAAAGAGCTTCATCTGGAAGGAAAACACTCATTCTTAACAGGTTCAAACAGTGTTCGTTAACTATCATCGGGAATGGAAGAAAGAAGGAAATCGCAACACATTCGCCATTGATTACGATTCTTGGCCATATCCGATAACGTTTCGAGCCATCGATTTGAGCTATCTCTCAGACCCCAACCAGGGAGTCGTGACACACCAACCGATGCTAATCTAACACAAATATCCTTCATCCCACGACGCCACGTCATGGGCTGACCACCTCTCCGCCTTTTCCATCCCGTCACAGGGCTAGCGAACAGAGACCTGTACGGAAGCCTCTGGGGTGACATTCGCAGCACATGTCCAAGCCACCGGAGCCGGTGTTTCCAGATGACGACATTCAATGAATGGTGATCTCCACTGTGTTCAAACACACGCCGCCGAACCTCAGAATTACTCACGCGATGATGCCATCGAACGCAAGCAATCCTGCGGAGACAGCGGTGATCGAACACGCAGAGTCGCCTCACATCCTCAGCTCGGAGAGGCCAGGTTTCACAGGCGTAGAGCAGCGCAGCCCGCACCGAAGCATTGTATACCCGACCTTTGACAGCCAGGTTAACGTCGCGACGGCGCCAGAGGTGGCTCAAGTTGATGTATGCCACCCTAGCTTTCATTATACGGTTGGAAATCTCATCCGTCACCCCTCCGCCAGCACTCACACAACTACCTAGGTACACAAACTTATCGACAACTTCAAGCGGTTCACCCGCAAGAGTGAGTGCAGGTACAGGCTCCTGCCAATCTTGTAACAGTACTTTGCACTTAGATGGTGCAAAGCACATACCATACTTACAGACACTGATCGCCAACTGATTAAGTGCGATTTGGGCAGCCTGCATGCCATCGCACAGTAAGACGATATCGTCTGCATACTCGAGGTCGAAAAGTCTATCTCCAGGTAGCAGATCTACACCACCTTCACGCACATCCTTCAGAGCTGACTCCAGAATGTCGTCGATGGCAAAGTTAAAGAGAAATGGCGAGATTGGGCAACCCTGTCTAACCCCACTGTTGGTTGGGAACAGTGGTGATAGTTGGTTGTATGCCCTCACTCTACCTGAGGTGTTTCTGTATAGGGCTTTCAAGATGTTAACAGATTTCTCAGGTACACCTCTCTCTAACAGACAGTTCCAGAGCACAGTTCTGTCCAACGAATCGAAGGCAGCCCTAATATCAAGAAACACAACGATCGTTGGCCTGCAATACGTGTGGCGGTGTTCCAACAACTGACGAAGGGTGAACACATGATCAATGCATCCACGACCTGAACGAAACCCAGCCTGCTCTTCGCGAATCAATCCTTCACGTATTTTGCACAGTCTGCGAAGCATGACAGCAGCCAATATTTTAGACGCAACTGGTAACAGACTGATACCCCTATGGTTGTCACACGAATTACGTCGACCCTTTTTAAAGATGGGGACGATAATGGCTTCGTTCCACATTGATGGTACGCTCTCTGTCTCCCACACCCTCCTGAACAACCCAGTTAGAGCCATTATGAGAGTCTCGCCACCCTCTTTAAAAAGAGCCGGGGGTAATTTGTCTGGGCCGGGCGCCTTATGGCGTTTCAGAACTTGGAGTTCCTTACGGACCTCCGCTTCGGTGGGTGGGTCGGTACTAACCAACCAAGGAGCACTCGGGCTAGTGATAGTAGACAATGAAGCTGGTGGCCAGCTGAACTGCTTCCCGAAGTGCTCTGCCCAGCGTTCCAGGCGTCTCTTCAGGCTGGCAATTGGAGTGCCATCTGCCTCACAGACCGTCTCGCTGACACCTTGTTTCTTGCTGCCGGTGGCTCGTATGAGTTGGAACAGCTTCCGACTGTTGCCAGATGCAGCAGCTGACTCCATCTCATACGCACGTTCTGACCACCAGGCTTCGCGGTCCTTACGTAAACACTGTCTAATCTTGCGCGTGAGCGCCTTTCGCTGATTGTTGTATTCACTGCCAGCCGGAATGGACCGGCGTTCATCCATGAGTTGCAAGGAACTCGCAGAAACCCAGTGGTTGTTAGCGGAGCATTCTTTCAAGCCGCAAGCGGCTACACTCGCCTTTTGCATGGCACCTTGCACATGAAGCCAGTGTTCATCTATACTACTTGGGGGGTTGCTGGCAAGCATTGTTTTCAACTCATTCTGATATTTCAAAGAAGTAGCAGGTGCTACTAGTTTGCTCACATCAACGCTTAGACGACGGTTTTTACGAACCCCACCAAATCGCAAGACGAACTTGGCACACACTAACGCATGATCGGAGTCCAGGCATGTGCTCCAGAAGGAGCGACAGTCTTGTATGCATCCTCGCCACCGGAAACTGACCGCAATATGATCAATCTGAGTCCAAGCTTGGTTCGCAGAGGGAGGACGCCAGGTAGCGCTACGGCGATGGCTGTGCCGGAAGTTGGTGCTGGCTAGAAATAGGTTGTGATCCACGCAAAGCTGCAGAAGACGGTCCCCATTATCTGACCTGCGACCATGTAGTCCCCACTGACCACCTAGACGACTCTCCTCTGAGCTTAGACGCCCGACCTGTGCATTCAAGTCCCCAGCTAGCACTACGATATCCCTCCGACCCGCCTGTTTCAACAGATCGCTCAGTTGGTAGTAAAACTCATCCTTCATTGCATCCGGGCTGCAATCCGTCGGTGCATAGGCAGAGACAACAAATAGACACCGCCTATCTGGCCTACTACTCCTTACTTTCGTATATCCTTCCAGCCTCACAGCACATAAACGACTGTTAATGGGAATCCAGTCGAGCAGTGCAGCTTCGGCTCTAGCGCTCAGTGCGACACCGACACCAGCAACGCCAGATGCCGATGCCACAGGGTCCCCGGATAAGCGCAGGTGGTACATACTACTAGAACTTCCAGATGGAGAGGATAGTCGAAGCACTTCACTGGGATCTTGAATGCGGGTCTCCGAAATGCAGCAGACATCGATAGCGAGGCTTTCCAAAGTTCTTGCCAACCCTGCCTGTTGTCCGATTTGCATCAGCGTCCGAACATTGTAGGTAGCCAACTTGAACGCAGCACGCGGTTTCAGGATATCTGTGTTAGAAGTCGCATTGGGAACAACCATTTTGAGGACTACTCACTAACATCTCGAAACGACACGGATAGGCTGGGAATCTCGACAAAGGCGAAAGGTTGTCGAAGGTTAAGAAGCCAAGGTTAGCAAAGGTAAAATACAGGAAACTATGTGTAAAAATAAAAGTAAGATAGGAAGGAAATAAGTTGCTTGAGGGATCAATATTGCTTGGAGTCATTTTTCACTAGCGCGCGTTGACTTTCAATGAGAGTTCGTTGCTTCAATTCATTCATTGTGTGCGGGCTGAGATACTGCCCGGGCGCCCAGACCGAAGCAGGTGGTTTTATTAAGGGACCACCCCCCGAGCCTTTGACTTGGAGTCTAATCCGCAAGGCAGCGGAGCAGAGTCAGGAGCTGTATTCCCATGGTTGCCGGTGACCCATATGGGTTCATACGCCATTCGATCCAATTGGAAACTGGAGCCCATGTACCCCATGGTAACTGCTTTTAGTCTAACCGCTATCCAAACAACCTTCCTGGCATGGTAGGACCTGCAGGGACATGAGTCCCAGCCAGTTTAGCTTGTTGGGTCACTGCGGCATTCAAGCCCGACCACCACGGCAAGGTAGCAGTTATCGGCCGGGAGTTATACCATATAAAGAGGGGACATCTGAGACCCTACGTAGGATTCTAAATAAAGCAGGAATTAGGGTGGCATTGAAACCTACAAACTCACTCAGGGACAAGCTCTGTAGGTTAAAGGACCCAGTGGACCCAATTAGACAAAATAATATAATTTACAAAATACCCTGCAATGACTGTGAGGTCAACTACATAGGTCAAATTAGTAGGTCAGGGGTAGTCAGATTGTCAGAACATAAGAATTTAGCTAAGGTAAGAATGGTTGACCCAGAGAAGATAAGTAATTTAGAAAAAGCTCGGCAACTGCAATGCATGCATTAACACACAACCACACAATAGGGTGGGAGAGGGTTAAAATTCTAAAAAGTAATCTAGGTAGGTGGAGAGAGAGGTTGATTACTGAATCTTTGTTCATCGAATCTACACCCAACATATGCAATAGGAATGAATCATCACTCATACCTGAAATATGGAAAATAATACTACCAATCAAATCAAGTGGAAATCAAGTGAAAAACAATGGAACTATATAAATGAATTTAGGAAGTCGTGTGATTACCTTGATATGATTATGAGCAATAAATTGTGCTCGAAACATCATCAGTAAACATTACCGTATAACACTGTGAGACTTTATAAAAACAAAATTTACCCATAATGGAAGGAGGAGAAGCAAATAAAACAGTCGGCTGAGCGCTTCAAAGGACTCTTGAATCGACCATCATCGCCTGCAACTCACCTAGAAACACCACCAACAGCACGCATAGAACTGTCTGCCAGTGGACATCAATCCTCCAACAAAAGCCGAGATCTTGAAAGCAATCAAGCTACTGAAGTCCGAGAAGTCAGCGTGACTAGACGGGATTCTCTCTAAAGAACTGAAAATGTATCTCGAGACTGCGGAAAATGTGCTCACGCCATTATTGCAAAAGGTATGTTAGGAATGGAAGGTGCCTACCGATTGGGAGAAAGGCTACCATGTCAAGCTACTAAAGGAAGGTGACTTAATCCTCTGCAAGAACTGGCGTGGAATCATGCTTTTGTCAAAGCCAATTAAAGTACTAAGTCGCGTCATCCTGGAGAAAATAAAAGGTGCAATGGATGAAGAACCCCGCCAGTCCGGAACGACCTGGATCCACGAAAGGCAAATCATGTGCTGATCGAATTGCAACTCTACACATCATCATCGAACAGAGCATAGAATGACAGTCAAATCACTACCTCCACTTCATCAACTTCGAAAAGACCTCCGACAGAGATTACCGAGAAGTAATTTGAAAACTACTTCAACACTATGGCCTGTACCGTCCGAATCGTTATCAATATCATCCAACAAATATATGACAGTGCAACGTGTCAGGTGATCCACAACAGAAAATTCAGTGAAGCCTTTGAAGTGAATACAGGAGTGAGACAAAACTGCCTATTATCACCGATGACATTTCTGATTGTGGTGGACTGAACTATGCGTCAGACAGTGCATTGGGAGCGAGAAGACAGCAATACGTTGGATCGAAAAGAAGACTCTAGAAGATCTCGATTTCACTTGTTGATGATTTAGGTTTGATGTCACGCAAACTCAAAGACTTGCAGGCGAAAACCAACAATCTGTCAGAAGAGGCAAGCAGCGGAGACAGGACTCCAGATGAACATGAACAAGACGGAGGCGATTAAAATAACCAGTCAATAGCAACGAAAAATATCACCAATCACTATCAATCTAAGAAACATGAAAGAGGTCACTTCCTTCCCTCACTTATCTAGGAAGCACTGTTTCAACCACGCGCGGAACGGATGGAGATGTAAAAGCCAGCCAGAATCGGGAAGTCAAGGTACATCTTTATCAATCTGAAATCCCTTTGGAAATCTTCCGCACTCCGCAGCATAAAGAACAACATTCGCATTTTCAACAGAAATGCTAAATCAGTCAATTCTCCTGTATGGTTCAGAAACTTGCATTGCGCTTCACGGGAAGCATTATGAACAGGTCGTAGACTTTATCAGCAGCTGCCTTCTCTCTATAGCGAAGATCGAATGGCCAGAAAGAATTAGCAACATAAAACTCTGGCAACAAACCATCGAAGAGATGATCGTTCAACAAACATGCAGGAGAAAATGCAGATGGATTGGACATACTCTGAGGTCACCATCAAACAACATCGCAGTCAATGAAGGCCATATTTGGAGTGGAATCCAAATGGTAAGCGACGGATAGGTCGTCCTAGGATGACATGGAGTTCATACGAAGAAATGAGAGACCATGGGCAATGGTGAGGATAGCATAAAATAGAACGAAGTGCAGATGTTTTGTTGACGTCATTTGTTCCATTCGGAACCCAAGGGAACAATAATAATAATTCAGGCTTGTATATATATTTTTTTATTATAGCTTGACTCTGCACAGTATTTTCGACATAAGTATGGAATTTTCAGCATGCGATATCAGTAACGCAAATTTAGCAGGCCGACCACTGATATCAGGTGTGCGCCGACAGGGGATCGAACCCCAGACCTTGTGCATGGTCAGCAAGCGTCCTAGTTGCTGTACTACCAACGAAGCCACCCACAAATTTTGGTAAATGCATTCATTCTTAAAAGGGAATTCAAAAACAGCTAAATCAGATGTGACACTCCACTATTACGAGTCTTAAATGAAACGAGATGACCAGTTAGAAATAAGATCACCAGTAATGGTAACAAAGTGGCTAGAAACATGCAACACAACATGATGTGCAAATACGTCATAGCAGTGAAATCAAATAAGACAAAGGTCTTCGAAATGTAAGCATGAAGCACTTAAATATAATAGTTTGAACGTGATTTCCGTTGGTGAAGAAAGGTGAATTTTAGTAATGCAACGGCTACCATATACGCCTCAAGCAAGCGGTTGTCAGATATACCTTCAAACTACCTATAATTCCTTTACGGCTAAAATTTATTTTGATGAAGTCACACAGTGTTATGCAGTAATGTATTGCATATATATATATATATATATTACTGCACAATTAATTGCTCATAATCACTTTGATGTCATCACTACTTGGCCGGAACCCCAGTGAACAGTAAGTAGTGTGCAGGCCAGCTGATCCTGTCCGTTAAGAGAATGTCCTGACCATGAATATCTTTTCATAATGCGCACATACGACCTAACAGACTGCAGTTCACAAGTACAGGATGAGTTCTGACAAAAGCTGTGCTAAAAGCAACATAACGGTGATCGTCTCCTAAAGCTTTATTCGGGAAATCGCGTCCGGAAAAAAAACCGCAAAAACTTCAAACATAAGGAAAGATATTTCCTGACAAGGTGAATTCCATCATCAAATCAACTAGGGATTCAAATGAATCACGTGGTAGAAAGCTGTCAACTAAGGATCGGTAGGAGACTGGCTGCTTCTGAAAAAAATGCCTGGACTTCGATTACGCCCTGGGTGATGTAGTAGTATCTGACCTTGGGGGGAGTGCTGCTAAGTTGTATCGTACTACTCAAGGCACTCTACTCAAAACCCACACAGGCGTGTAAGGGCTCTAGGAGACTTCTCAACTGAATTGATGACAACCAGTGGTGTCTGTCAGCTATGGCCGTTTTGACCATGGTTGTTTATTTTCTTCACAGATGTACTAACCCTGTTGTCGACATGAGGTATGTGGATGATACTGTTTTCTGGATTCAAGACCAAGACAACACGCAGTTCCCTGAACACCAAGAGTGGAAATCTCTGAATGGTTAGCATAATATTTGCTCCTCTCGAATATAAAGTGATTCCGCAGGACTGGTGTGCAGCGAAATCCAGTTTAAAGACAAGTGAAGCGTTAGGGTGTGTCGACGATTGCATATATTTGGCAAGCTGCGCCAACCCCAATGGACTGGTTGTTGATAAAATGAAACCTCAGGACGAATATAAAAGGCTACCCTGACACCTGCCTAATTTCTCAACCTTTGATGCAATTGTGATACTCAACCACCGGTCAAAGGATGTGTTCACCGTGGAACTGTTCACTCTGTTCTCCTTCATGACTGTGTGACATGACCGTTGAGAGTGGAAGACATGAAGAGGCTAGCTTTCCTTGATTATAGATGTTTGCGTCCTATCTCCCGTGTTAAGTGGTATAATGTGGTGAGTAATATAGAGGTTAAACAGTCTGTCTTAGGTGAAGAGGGAAAGTTAATCAGTGGGTTTGTGAAGCTACACCGATTGTGTTGGCTAGGATGTGTCACGCCCGACGAGCTAACCTCTTCCTTGTCGAACAATGATACCCGACCTAGGAATTGTCAGGTATAGTCAAATGAATACATGGCATTACTCCATGAGGCTTGAAGGCAGCAGTTTTATTAAGGGAAATAATTGTATGAAATTTTAAGAACTAGTGGAAGTGTCTTTCTAGCGTACCTGCTCATTTCGGCAGTACGGAATTAGAGCATTCACTGTTATTTATCTGATAAAATCTCGTAATTGCGTCCGTAGATATAACTTATATAATGTAAACTTTATTGTTTCTTATTGTGTTACAACCGGGAAAAGATGGAACATCTTCAAAGAATGATCGAAATAATTATGCGCATGCCATACCACAGTGAGAATTGATGTTACGTGACAGTGAACATGCTTTAGAGGTAAAATTTCGGGATAGTCCATAATACATTATTTTCAGAAGTTATTTCTGTTTAATCTTCTTTCCATTTTTTTGCGTCACGAGGGGAATATAGGGCTTCAAGCTTATGAAGTTTCGCTAGCGGTTTTATGCGGGTGGACTGCTAGCCTCATGTCCAACCTTTTCTCTTTTCCAGGCTTACTGTCAGCTAATAAGCTGCGTGAGGTTTAGGGGTGCTTCGGTCGGGAATCGGACTGTGTACACTACATGCAATCACACACAATCATACAATAGGATGGGATAAGGTGAGTTTTAAAATCTAATGTAACAGGGTGGAGGGACAGATTGATAATGGAGTCAACTGCAAACACGGGAAATAGGAGTGGTTCAACACCTGTCCCAGATATATGGAAAATTCTACTACTCCTACGACAAATGGGAAAAAACAAAGAAAAATATAAAATTCAAGTTGTTGTGTGATTATGATTGATGAAATGATTATAATAAACAGTACTTGTGTTCGAAACGTCATCCAATAAATGATACTGTTTCACTGTGTGATATATCTAATAAACAAGCTAATATGGTAATTAAAGTGATACAAAGTCTCACTAACAGATATAAACGATAAACCACAGCTTGCTTAGGCTCAGTGTGTCGTACTATTCAAAGAAAAAGTTCATATACCTCTTTAACGAAATAACAACATTTCTTCAACCAACAATTATATACGGTATCAATATCACAAATGAATTTATTATATTGCGTTGAATACAATGATAAACAGGCAACTGAAATATTCTTTAATGTATCTCATAATAATAATAATATTATAAGTATTCAAACGTGTGTGCATACTCTTAAAAAAAACTGAATTTTCAAATCCCAGTAGACAGTTGTATTCAATTCATTGGAACAAAAACGCAATACACGCGTCATTTTATGTGAAAACCAAGAATGAAGGGTTAAACAAGATGTTAAAATTATCCTTTAGCCCTTCTAGTTAGTGTTAGTAGATGGACAGTAACTTCTTTACTTTCTTCGATAAACAGATGAATAAATTTTTCCACCGGAAAAAAAATAAGGCAATCAGGTTAAAACAACAAAGAACAGAATAATATCACAATTGTTCTGTTGAGTTTCCATTCCATCGAGCCTGTTCATCGTCTGAATTATCCGGCATATGAGAAAGACGTGCAATATTACCCTATAAGAGAGAAATAGTAATAGTGAATAAAAACACTAAGAAAGGCAACAAATACATCCAACTGAAAATCACTTTTACTGTAAAAGCCAAAACTGACCTGGCGTCTCACATAATGAGTGCGTGGCATATCGTCTGGATTAACAGGCGGTCTATTAGAATTACTATTAGACTGTTGTGTACGGGAACCTGTCACGGTAGACACCAGACCATGACCCAAAGAGTATATCCCACTGAATGCCCAACTAAGGAGACCATAAACACTACTGACGCTTGAAGTGATAATGCAGTAAAACTGCGAAGCTATTCCTCCTAAATGAAAAAAAACAAAGTTGGAACCGAGATTTACATATCTGTACCATATTAGAATGAAAATATTGATATTATCATTTGCTAACCTATGATGAGAAAGTACTTGAAATCATTCAAGAGAAAACAGGAAACCTAACTCTTATGTTACGCTTATGCTTACCACTGATAGACAAAATGCGATTTGGAAGGTATCATAAGACGTGGCACACAATAACAGTAAAGGAACAGTGATTTTAGCAAACTATCTGATGTGAGTTGAAACGCGGTTTCTTGATCCTCAGATCAATGTCATTAACACTATTACAGATAATATGGAGGGACAAGAGAAGAAATGACTCGACATGCGTAAAACGTATCCCAGAAGAATCAATCGCAAAGATTCATATTGCTGTCTGACCTCCTTCCTTATCTAGCACAACCCTCAATCTTCCACTACTTAAGATGTAGGTTTACCTGATGTTCGCAGTCGAACGAAAATGAATACTCGGTAACCCCTGTAGTAATTCGCCGTCTTCTACTTTGAGCGCCGGCGCCTCACAGCTTCAAAATATTAGAGGCAAAAAATACTGAGTATTAGAGTAGGTCAAGATTTGCAATTTTCTGGCTGACTTTTCGTGGTGCTACCCTTCAGTGAGAAAGCAGCGTGTTTTGCTGGCTCGTCATCTGATATAAACACGTTTCTGCAACTACAAACCTCCGTTTTGCATCGTCGGTGGCACAGTGGTTAGGACTCTCGCCGACCATGCACATGGTCCGGGGTTCGATCCCCTGCCGGCGCACACCCGATATCTATGGTCGGCCTGTATATTTGGGCTACCGATTTCCATGCTGAAAATTCCATACTTGTACTGAAAATACGGTGTGGCATCAAGCTGTAATCAAAATAAAATTAAAATAAATAGATAAGAATAAATCTTAGTTTCTCATTAAAGTGTTTCTTAAATAATGATGGCGGTTGCTCCCGCCACGTAACCAATGTTTCTGACATTTTACAACGTGTAGAAACATATTAAAGGTAGATTGTTGGGTCAGTGCAATATACATAAAAAGGAAGACTTGAGTTCACATGAAATTTGAAGGAAGATTTGTGTACGCCAAATCGGACAAGAGACTGGAATAAGTTATAAGTTATAATATCAAACCTGATAGTTTGACAACATAGCACACCTTTCAGAATCAACAACAGTGTCACAAATACCTATATAGCTTGTTTGCATCTCGGTGTCAGTATACAGCATTTTTATTACTTTTTCAACTTTGTTCTTTTCAACGACTTCTAATCATATTACCTTTCATTCTTTTAATTTTACAGATTTTCACCTTGGCTTTCTTGCGTTCAGATTCAGGTTAAACAATCTCAAGTAAAAATGCATAGTTCCCTTTGGGTATCTATCTGTTTGCAAACAAAGTGACATCAATTGTGGAGTAGACATTCAAACCTACTACCTTATAAATGTTTCATTGTGAAAAATTTGATTTTGAAGAAAAGTAAGACACGAGTGATTTAGTGGAAATATTTGAAAACAGAACTGAGAAATAAAAAAACCAATAAACAAACCGGATGAAAGACTAACGGCTTGATTAGGTCTATCCGAAACTAGGAACAATGTGGCCGAAGGACAGTAACCGAGTTCCCGTAATGACTGACACTCCTCTTCAGGTTCCAGCAACCTAGTGAAATGATATACAAAACCTGAGTCATTTGTAAGTTAAACATATGTAAACAGCTGCATAAAATGAAATCAAAAATTATTAGATTAAATATTGAGGAACAACAGTGAATAAGCATGGTACCGTCATGATTAAATGGTTATAAATAGATATATAGGGATTAAGAAAGAGACTAAATAACACAGAATTACCTTTTGGGATGCAACTGTAAAAATCGGTATCCTTTCTTTATCAAGTTCTTAAATATGCTGATTGCTGGTTCATTCAAAACCTGCAGGTTATCATCCATCTTGAAATTGCAAGATGCCATTTCTTGGAGCCAATTACGCACATCACCTGCAAGAGATGCAGTAGCAGGAAATTGATGCACTAAATGGCCACCTTCTAATGACCGTAACTGCAGTCGAACCTAAGAAATACAAATGAAATTGATTTATCACGAAAAATGAATTCAAACTAGGTGATTCTATGCATTTCTACGTGTACTTTGTATTTTAAGTAGTCAATTTACAAACGCCGGGTCACAGGTCTGAAAACTGCTTAATCTACTGAGCTAACGTCAGTTAGGTACCCCCCCCCACACCCACCCAATACGACGAATATCTGAACACGTAATTGTCCATTTGTATCATTTTATGTATATTAACTTGATTGACCTAATATACTCTTAAAGATATTGCAAACTGAACCGCTGGATACTAGGTAAGACGAATAGACAGTTATATGAAAATAACGCATACACGGCCATAACCGATGCGATTATAAAAATACTTTAAGCAAGTTAAGTATAGTTATTATAAAACCCCTAATAAGAATCACCTAAACGCTAGAAACATTAGGTGAAGAGTATGAAACCCACTTCAACTAGTGAGGACTGGATTCTCAAGTACTACTATAACGGCAGAAGGCAAACACGGAAGCCAAGGTATATTTCCAAGTGACCAAGCAGCTATTTATATCTACACAGTTTATATTCTTTAACCAGTCACTAAGCGTGTGACTTTAGTTTACATTACACAACACACTCATAGTATTCTGTTGCTAATGCAGTATTGAACTGTGGGAAAATGTGAGAATAATATTCCGTTGGGACACATTGTCTGTATCCCACCACCATCATCAGCCTTCATACGATATATACGGCTCATACAAATTTCGCGGCAAATAAGATATCACAAACTGACATCAGTTACAGAAGAGGAGTACTAGACAGACTTTTTGTTAGATTTCGGGATTCTTTAGAAGTGCACAGCCATGACCCAACCACGGATCGAACCCAAGGCCTTCAGGTTACGACATTACAGTTAATCAAATGCTTACCAACCTAAAAGCTAAATAGCTATAGTAATTGAGTAGCATTTGACTAATTCGTTTCAATAGTCATCACTTACAGTTAAGCTAAAGCTTTAAAATTAAAAACGTAGCTCAAAAACACAAAAGTGAAGTGATTCTAACCACTAAAAATATTTTTTTACCTCATTTGAATTGCATGAACTTCTAGGTAACTCTTGACCAACTGAAATTGTATTCTCAGTCGCTGGTGGCTGCAAACCATTCACACGTTGCCACCTTTCTTCTCTAGCTTTACGGTCTTCTTCAATTTGTTGACGTAGTTTTTCAAGTTGTGCGCGTGATTCAGCTTCTTCTTTACGACGTTCAGCCACAGCCTCATCGATTTCTCTTTGCCTCTGACGTTCCTAAGACAAAACCAATGCATCAATGTTATGTAGACAAAAATTGTTAGCTAAGGCAACTTTCGTTTTTAGAAGTAACAATATTTGACTTGTTTTCTACAAAATGAAAACAAGGACAATTTACATACTGAAGGATGATGATTCTTCGCATGTTAACAGTTGTTGGAGGTAGACAAAATGAAATCGTAGAACAATGAAAATGAATACGAATGAGCTTGGGAACTGAAATTTGCAGACCAATTTGGAAATTGTACACTACCTAGGTCTTTGAATACATTTTGTGGTAAATAGCACAAAATGAGTAATATAGTAAGGTATAAGTAAACTACTATTTAAATACTAAATAGTATACGCTAATTTTTTTATATATGTAAAGTGGTTTGATTTATCCAGCAAGGTGGACTATCACAAAGTAAAATGTAATCCTAAAAATTGAATTCAAAAGTTTGTATTTTGTGAAATTTACCTCATACACCTTAATCAACTTCTCTACACCCCCTCTGCTTGCCTATTCAGATGACACTACTGATGGTGCCATCCTTCAATTTTTAATATTCTATTTATTTTGCCTAACTCAAAAGTATTATGAGTATACACAAGTGGAAAAGGTAAACAAGTCACTACCTTCTGTGGTCAGGAGTCTGAACTCGGCTTTTTCTTTTGGGTAAAGTGTACGTTTAAGAAGGAAACTGTGATTTTTCATTAATGCAACAATTTTGCACTGAGCTTTTGCACTACTACTATTTACAACAAATAGTAAATGTGTAAGCTACAGTGAATAAAATTTGATGTGTGAAAATTTCAGCAACAAAAAATTAACCAATCCAGATGAAAAGTAGACGTTATTGCACTTCAGTTTTACTAATAAAACCTTTTTTAACTCTATGTGGTCTTATCACATTAGTTTGGTTGTTAAGCAATATCAATGACAGGATATCTTGACGAGAGCTACTTTTAGTTTACTGCTTTAGTATGTATCTAACAGACAAACCAACATGAAATTACATCCCTGTTGATGCTTAAATCTCACATTTCTTACTACAACAATAGATGAAATTGAAATACTTCTGTTCCTCGTTCAGGAAGCACGATAACTAACAGGGATGATGGCACCAACCTAAAAATGTTGTGTTAAGAAGTGCGAGGTAACGTCTGATGACAATTTAAGTATGAATTTATGACATGAATCAGATAAATGTGTGTGATCTAAACAACTCTGACTACGGAATAAAACCTTACGGACTGTTCGCTTTCACTGTGAATTCTGAGAATAACTGACCCAACTGTATACATCAACCTATATTATCATGCTTCCCAAGCATTTATCAAAGAAAAATCAATAAGGAAGAAGACTGCGATTAAAAAAATACGGTAAAAAAAGCTATCGATTGTTTATATACTCCTCAAAAGGTTCCTCACCCTCACTTCTCTACCAAAAAGCAGATACAATATGTAAAGAAATACAACGTCAGGTAAGAGCAGGTGAGTGAAGAGTAGATATCTGATGTTGGAAGTGACATTAAAATATACGAGGCAGACGCCTTATGAAAGAATACAATGAGTAGGCAGTCACAACAAAAAACTTCCCTTACTTTAAACTCATGTAAAGCTTTTCCAGTTTCTCGACGTTTAATTTCAGCATCAATGGATTTCTTCCTATATTCCTCTTCTTTTTCTCGCCTCTGAGCTTCAATTAACTGGCGGGCGTAATCCACTCGTTCTTCTAACGTTTGACCAGACGAAAGTGGTGCTTGTTGTTCCACCGTATTTGATGTGGTAACGTGATTAGCTTCAGTGGGTATGATGCCTGGAGAAGATGACGATGGTGGTGCAGCGGGTGTCACAGCCTTTGATGAATCGTTACTTGTATGTATACTTGCAACTGTTTTAAGAAAACGTAAAAAGCTGAAGATTTTCAGAATGCCTTCATCCAGAAGGAAAATATTTATTACAAAGAACAATAGTATTATAGCTGATTTCAAGGCAAAATTTTTAAAATATCACACAAAATGCAAACAAAATTCCATATCACTAATTAAATAAACAGAGAACACTATTCCAACAAGGTCTATAAGGTCACTACAGTGATAGGATGCATATAAATACATCACCACTATGTTTATTTATAAAATATAAATACCTCACACACATCAATATATTGTCGAATTCTTTTCTGAGGAGAAACTTTTACGAGTGTCAGTGATTATGAACCTAACAAAATAGTTGTTGACAAAATACTACGTAGGAAGTAAGTGTACACGATCCATCTCAGATGACTATAATATTTGAAAAATTGGATATGCATTTTCACGTAATACTCGTCTGCAACAACCCTAAATCAGATAGATGAAGGCAGTTAAGACTGCTTTGGATAATTCACTATTGTACTCGTTTATTCAAATCAAATCAAAACACCCTGCTGTTTGTACTACTATAAATTACCCTAGAAGCTTCAAACTAATAATCATAGCAGTGCAATGTATAGGCAGCAGTAGGACAGACTACAATCATCACACTTGCAATTCGTGAGTATCTCAGCTGCAAAATACATACAGTGTAAACGACAGAATGCAACATAGCGATGGTGTTTATAAAAACGGCTAATATCGCTGTTCACATCAAACTTCATGGCAGCATGAGAATATGACTGACTTCGATGTTTCAAGTATTGGCGGACCAGCGACAGACACTCAAAAATTTATCGTACACAGTCCAACTAGCCCATATATGTGAATACACCACTGCAATCCAGATCCTTCTGTGTTCAGGTGAAAGCGGAGTCTGTATCTTCAATGACTAATCTTTGTCAAATGTAAGACGATGCTACATAGCGGTCGGAGTAACCTGGAAGTTTAAGAATAAGCGACTGCCTGAGTGAGTTCCAACACGGAAATAGCAATTTAAGTTTCCACACTTTAAGTAGCAGAGATAGGCAGACAAAAGCGAAACAGACTCAAAAGAACTAATAATAAACAGAAATGTAAGGGGTAAAGAACAATAATATGGAAAACATGATGGTTTAGTGGATACTGGAGGTCGCAGAGTGAGTGCATTTGCGTAACTGAAGAGTTCGAGTCATATCATTAATAAGCTTCCATTTATAGGTTCTCAGTATCACGAGGACCTCAACCAGGCAACAACACGGCCCTCTGTGACTGGTTCAAACCAACTTAAGACAAATTCATGGATCGACGAAATGTTTTCATTTTATTACCCATAGCTCTTTTTCAGTTGAATCCTATGTAGGCTAACATTACTGAAGGAACAGTGTAGCTTAGCATGCGTGACACATGTCCTAGCCAACACAATCGGTGTAGCTTCACAAACCCACTGATTAACTTTCCCTCTTCACCTAAGACAGACTGTTTAACCTCTATATTACTCACCACATTATACCACTTAACACGGGAGATAGGACGCAAACATCTATAATCAAGGAAAGCTAGCCTCTTCATGTCTTCCACTCTCAACGGTCATGTCACACAGTCATGAAGGAGAACAGAGTGAACAGTTCCACGGTGAACACATCCTTTGACCGGTGGTTGAGTATCACAATTGCATCAAAGGTTGAGAAATTAGGCAGGTGTCAGGGTAGCCTTTTATATTCGTCCTGAGGTTTCATTTTATCAACAACCAGTTGATTGGGGTTGATTGTAACGACAGAAGACAAGGGTCAGGCAGAAGATCGTTTATTGCGAAAATCAAGAGATATTCATAGATTTTTATGTAAATTGTTATTCGATATTTTAGCAGAAAAGCAACGTCTTAAGATTAATTTTTCTTGTTGGAGGTTATTCTGTACTGCTTGTGACCGTTGTTTACAAAGTTACCATCTGCGAATCGTATTTGCACACGCTAAGTCTGCTGTGATTGGTTGTTGAGTTCCCCAAGGTTAGGCTATGTTTTTTTTCTCATGACCCCAATTCGGGAGTTAAACACTGACGTAAATTGTTGTTTACAATTTTGGTTTGCAGGCAGCTTTCACAACACCATAACACGCAGATAAAGAATAATCAAAATCATTATCCGTTCCGACTTATAAGAAAGGTCACAAATTTTCATACCATAATCATCCCAGCCAGAATGTGAATCAGACATTGGTTTGTGAGTTGTCAAACTTGTTGAAAATTGTACGATAGACGATATGAATAAATATAGGTTGAAGATGTGTATCCACCGGTTCTTAACCATTTCGGTGAAAATTCAATGACTAGGTAAGCTGTAGTTACCTTCATTATCTGATCGCTGGGTTATTGTGGCATCACATTTTGTTGCTTGAAATAATTTTCGAGTACATCTGAACAACAGCAGATAGAATCAGATGCCCAGAAAGTTCCTTGCATTCTTCGAAATGGTCCTCTCTCCCCTTTAGTATGTTGTGATCATTGGTGTAAGGTAAAACTAGACATAAAACTCTTATGCATGATTTTGAAGTGGGAGTGTTTGTCCCTAAATGTAAACAAATTAAATTCGAAATGAAGTCATTCCTACTTAATTTAGTTATCGATTTCAGAGCCCTATCCCAACTGCAATGCAGACCATTAACCGGCCTTCTTAAACTACGTTTACGAATTGGCCGATGGTAGTACTTTAGGCGCATTTGCTAGGAGTACATGTAATGGATTTATTGTGAGACTCAGTGGCTGGTAGTCAAACAATAACCAATATAGCCACAATATCTTCTGAATATAACCAAGACTTACGACAACGTTAGTATAAAATAATTTCACGAGACTAATATTTAGTCTCCACTGGTTTGTCATGCACAAAAGAATGAACAGAATCTTCGTGGAGAAAACAACGGTTAACAAAAATACACATTAGATTACACACTAAATGCATGGAAACCCACCATTGCACGAGGTAGACCCATTTGATTGAATAAATAAAATATTAACAGATTAACTCACCTTCAGTCGATCTCCTTTCTGAACTACGTATCCAGTCAATCAAGTCTTTATTGTCAACACGACCCAACTTAACATCAATTACCTGTCCATCGGGGTTGATCAGGTAGATGCATGGAACAGTAAGCACTGCATAAACGGCTGAAAACTGTGCAGTAGCATGAGATGAAGCATCCAACTGAAGACCTGAAGCAGTCATAGGTAAATTCTTAGAAAGTAACCAGATGTACAAAGTTCAACAACAGTACACATTCCTGTAGAAGATAAACTTCTCAATTATCAGTCTATCACTCTGAAAACTTTAATCACTTGAAACGGTCGATGGTAAACACATTCAGTCATTCTGATATACCCATTATTTTTCTACCATGCAACGAACCTCCCTATGTGGCTGGCTTAAACTAACTTATGTGGATTTCATTGACTTATGCCATGTTTTGGTTTGGCTACCACTAGCTTCTCTCCAACCTGATCCAATATCAGCTAACGTTGTCTGTTGTCGAGGAAGGCGATGGGTAGGCATGCGTAACATATAACCTAACTATCTCAATCGATCTAAATCAATTTCGTCGACTGATTTCCCTTCCTTACCTAGCACTCGACGCCTAACCTCAATATTGCCCACCCTATTATACCACTTTACACGGGAGATAGAACGCAGACACCTATGATCAAAGACAGCTACTCTTTTCATCCACTTCCCATGGCTACTTCTCTCTCACACACATAAACGAGAGTGGAGCAACCTGTTGCTGTGCAACACACACGTCCTTTAGCTGACAGCCTAATATCACGTCTACACCAGAAATGGCATCCGTTGGCATATGCCAAACGAACCCTCTGTATCCGTGCTGAGATTTTGTCAGCGATCAACCAGTTGGGTTTGATGCACCTTCCAGAACAACTGAAGTGGTCAACACGCTCTACCACTTCACTCCTGCCTATGTCTAACCCAGGAGTCAATATAGTCCAGTTCAGTTCAGTCCTGTAGCATCATCTTACATTTGACAGGAGCAAATCGCATGCCATACATTTGAAAATTGATGCCCAAGGTGTTCAGAAGACTCTGCATTTTTTCAGCGTCTTCACCTAGGAGCAGGACTATAACATCTGCAAATTCAAAGTCAATGAGATTATCCCCTGGTAACAAGTCAATCCATGAGTCACTGAAGTCAGTTAGGTTTGGGTCCATTAGTACATCTATGATGAAATCAAAGAGAAATGGGGACAGTGAGCAACCCAGCCGGACACCACTAGTTGTCACCACTTCAGATGACAACTCTGTAAACTCTCACCTGGCTGCATGAGTTTGAGTAGAGTGCCTTGATCAATGCAATGTATTTTCTCAGCATTCCCTTTATAGCCAAGCATCGCCATAGTACCTCTCGGTCGACAGAATCGAACCGCCTTTAGGTCGAGAAATATAACGATTGTTGGACGCCAGTAAGTATGTCTGTTCCAGAATCTGTCAAAAGGTGGAGATATGATCAATGTACCCTCTTCGTGTTCTAAAACCTGTCTGGTTCTCTCGTGTTTGTTCCTTCCGAGCACCACTTAATCTACGCAGAATGATTGAGCCCATGACTCTAGTTACCATATTGGTCAGGCTAATTCCCCTGTGATTATCACAGTAAGACTTGTCTCCCTTCTTGTATATTGTGATAACCAATAACTTACACCAACCTAACGGAACTATTTCTGATTTCCAAACGTTGTCTAATACCTAAGTTAACCTGTGTGGTAAATTTTCTACACCTGTGTGGTCATTCCCTCAGGTCCAACTGTTTTGCCTAGTTTCAGAATAGTGACAGCTTTTGTAACCTCACTTAAGGACGGAAGACCGGTGTTTATATCCCATTCAGTAAGGTATTGGATGCTTGGTAAGTTGAGCGTGGTTGTAGGCCAATTAAACTTCTCCTCAAAGTATTCTTTCCAGCGTTTCAGTCGTTTATCCTGGGAGCTAATTATGATGACTTTTCTCAGAGATTGTTTCACTTATCGTCTGCCTTTTGTCACTTGTCTCCCTGATAAGTCTAAATAGTTTCCTGGTATTACTTATCACCGATGCCTTTTCCATCTCTTTCGCTTATGTTGCTCACCAATGTTCATGGTCGTTGCAAAGACCTCTTGTCAGTTTGCTTTTGAGCAGCTTTCGCTTGCTAGAATCAGTCTTCTTGAGACTATCAGTTCGGATAGGGTAGCAGAACTCCATTGGCTTTTACTCACTTTTGATTTTAGACTGTTAACAACCTTAACAGCTATCTACAGTTAACTGTGTATTGTGCCAAGCTTCCTTAGGAGGAGTCTTGCTATCGACCTCAGATACACCTATTTCTTCCTCAAGTAGGGACTCAGTGTCCTGACCAAATTGGAGGTGTAACTGCTTCGTTGCTAAGTTTTCCGTGCCCCCTTAAGCATAAACGCACGTGAACTAGGGCGTGGCTGGAGTCTACGCACGTGTTCCAGAAGAAGAAGCAGTTTTCTCCTGACCGTCAACAACGACAGACTATCGCCGCGTGGTCTAGTTCATTCCAACATTGATTTGGTGATGGGGGTAGCCAGGTCAGGCAAATTATTGCTATCTAAACAGAACTGTAGAAGACGATCATCGTTGTCGGCTCGTTGGCAAAGAACTCCGTACGTACCACCACCCATATACTTCTCAGTTTGGCACAGCTTCCCTACTTGTGCATTAAAGTCGCCTGCTAAAACGACTATGTCTCAGAGTTTTGCTTTTCGCAGTAAACTAGACACTTTTTGGCATAAATTATCCTTAAATTCATCCTAATTGAAGTCTGTTGTCGTGTAAGTGGAGACTATGAAAAGGCAACGACGGGTAACGCCATCTTTCCTTCTTCTAACAGACCCATTCAGACAGACCGCATCCATGCAGCTATCTACTGGGATCCAGTCAATAAGTGATTTTTCTACCCAAACACTCAATGCTATCCCCACACCTGTGAATCCTCGCGAACTAGCTGAGGGGTCTCCTGACACCCTTAAGGTGAATTTAGCGGATTCACACCGTTGGTCAGGTGGGTTTAAGTGAATAACCACACTCAAGTCCTGTATGCGTGTCTCCGAAAAACAACATATATCCATGACTCGAGATGCCAGAGTTCTGACTAGTGATGTCTGTCTTCCGAATTGGCAGAGTCCATATGTTAAATGTTAAAAACGGGCAGCGTGGCTTTGAGAAACTGTTGGGAGTGTTTTTCTGGCTCTCGTCGCTATTTATGGTTGCAGAATTAAAGTAAGATGAATGAACAGCCTGCAGAATAGTATCGGCAGTAGGAGGAAAACAAGATGTGCGATGTAGGTACGAGGGGAATGATGATCAGGAGGGCCTCATGTACTTTTGGAAGTGTGCGGGCACTTGTTACTTCCCGGCTGACCACACCGCGGGTTGCTTTTTTCTTGGAGTACCTGAAACAGGGAGAATTAGTGTTGCGTGACCTAAGAGCCCACGGGACAACTGCTTGAGGCCGGTCACACATCTAGTTTGGACTGCCTTTTAGGTTTGGTAATGTATTAGTAACTTACCGTCGACTACGGGCAGCAGTAGGGTAAGTCGGAATGTACCATTTTTAGGGTGCACCTTTCCTAACAGAGATATCTCACACTGTGAGGCTGTCCTGGTCTTAATGACTACACAATAACCTTGGTAACATACACAATGACACTTGACATTCCTGCAACCAGTGACATGTAGCGTGTTGATCAACTTACATAATTATTTTTTTCGTTATACTTATCGCATTCAGAGACTTTCACTGTTAATATCTCAAGTTACTTAATCATCCTTGTTTCTGTAGCAGAATGGATTACGTGTTGCGTTTCGATTGGATGATACTTTCCAAGTTCCCATAAAGCAGATTTAGTGCTTTTATCTGGAAGCCACGCTTGGAAACATGGCGTAGCACACTGCACTCACTTGGATTTACGCAGCAGCACATACACATTACATATGCATTAATTAAGTACAGTAAATGTGATAGTGGTCCTCTGCCTTGACAGGTTTCGGATTTCTGCCAGTAGATAACAGACAAGAGATTTGCACCCCATTTGAAGCTGTTTAGGAATAAATTCTGAAATAAGATAGTAGTACATTCTTTTTATTTTTAGTTGGCTGACACTGGACTATGTGCACGTTTACAATGCCATGTTTCAGAGGGTTCAACTCCCGGAAACACTGACATTACCTGTACAAACAATTTAATATGCTTAACAGCTGTTAAGATTCGTGTCCATGATCAAATTTGTTTGAGAAATGGCCTAAATTAGCATTTAGTCACTATATACGCACGCGACTGTCAACCAAATGCTATCGAATACGATTTCTGTTTTAAGACCCAGAGCTACCAACAGAATGACAATGTTTTGTTTTGTTTCGAAGACTCATCACATTGGGTAGGTGGAAACATGAAAATAAGCACACTTTATTCTTATGCCAAGTTTATTCACACACTTAACTACGCTTCTTTCCGCGAGTAAATACACCTCTCTCTGTATCGTCTAGAGACGTAAGTACAGGTTCTTCGAGAGAAAATGGGGATAACCATATCATTATTGTTATATTCAGCGAACTTTGAACCATTGTAACAATTACGCACAGAATAAATTGGGAAATAGACACACATAGGTCAGTGGACATTTTAAACAATATAAAGAGTATCTTTATTTTTCTATATAGATATATACTTTAAAATGCATCCCCGAGTACTAGTTTTACATGGATTCCTCACTGTAAATTGACTAGGCAAAATACAAAAGGACAAGCGTTTCTTCCTTTATATGATCAAAAACATCAGTAACTTCATGTGAACAAGGGATTTTCTATTTAATTTTATTAAAAAAAACCTCGATGGTTACTTAACAGCCCCGCTACGTTAATTGTGTATATAAAAGGATCCTTTTATCAGGGTTATCGATAACCCTGATAATAACCCGGATACAATTAACTAACGAAATTCCTAGAATCAACCAAAATAAACTTAGTAGTAGCAATTTTTTTTACATAGTTTATATATGAAACACTGAGATACTCACATATTATATTGCAACAAGATCTTGAAACCTGTTCATCAAACTGACTGGCAACGAATCCAGATTCATCGTCAGTCCCTGTAGGAATACCAACCTTTTAAAAAGGGTCAACAAACCTTTAATAAAAACCAAGAGCACTTTAGACTCTTGTTTCACTAATTTGACTGCTTCTGAAACTTCACCCTGAAACCACTCCATTTTAAACGAACCGCAAATTTGCGTGGTCCAACAACTGAGGCACAGCTTACCAGCTCGCATTACAAGAACTGTTGAGTGCATCGACCTGAAAGACTGAAATCTAAACATTTTCTCGGATACTCTTTTTATGTATGACTTTCACCAATTTTCGACTTAGACATAATATCTGGTGGATGCAATATCTATGTACCATAACTGTACAAATACTACCCTAAAACTTGCATACTACTTAGGTCCACATTACCAGATATTGAACTTTCGTTCCAACATGTAAGTCTGTTATCCTTTCCCCAAGGTCGGTGGCACAGTGGTTAGGACTGTCGCCGACCATGCACGTGGTCCGGGGTTCGATCACCTGCCGACGCACACCCGATATCTATGGTCGGCCTGCAAAATTTGGGCTACCGATATCCATGCTGAAAATTCCACACTTGTACTGAAAATACGGTGTGGCATCAAGCTGTAATCAAAATTTTAAAAAATTAAAATTAAAAAAGGTTCTTATGCCAATATACAAATTTCGATCGGTAATGCGCTTAGATGAATGCTGCTGAGTTTGGCTAGTGAAGGGCAAACATAGGTGGACTGGATTCTGTGTGCCATAACACAATTGCTATCTAATATGTATGTCAGTCACTGGGCACTATACCTTGAAAATCTTGTGTACTGTGCACTTCTGCAGTGCACTTGCCATACATTTTAGCCAGGTTATTGGGTTACCACTGGCACTAAGTAGTTAGGCAAATTTACTCAGCATCGTCACTTATTTGCGCATGGTACAGTGGAATAATATAATATTATTTATTTATTCCTATAACTGCAGCAATGGTGTTTGTGAGTGGTTCTCTACCTGAAGCAAGATAAAAAATGCCTGGAATAGGTATATGGATGGTAGAATAACTGGATATTCACTCAATACACTGCTAAACCAGCCCTAAAAGATTTGAATTGTTTTGAGCTCTGGATTCTCATGTATGCAGTCAGGCGTTGACAAGTAACATCTTGAGTTTATACCGCGATCTTATTCACTCCCTTGAACCCCTCACTATGATATGTTTAGCCAAATAGAAAGCTAAAATTTTCACCGAGTGAATCCCTATTATTCACTAGAAAATAGGTTGCCTTTAAAGGTTTTCTCTGTTTAAGTAGTAAATCGAGTTCCTATATGTACAATCTATGGTATAAGCACACTGGGTCATAGTAAAAACAAAAAGGATAGATGCAGAGAAGAAAAAATTTCTTTTCCACTTTTATAGTTCAGAAAGTGGACATATTGTAGACTCAGGAGACTAATCTTCACTTGAGAAATACTTGAAATTTCCATACATTATCCGAAAAAACCTATCGAAGTGCAAGGCTGAGATATTTGCATTCACAGATTCATACCACCGCTATCTACCTGAAAGAAAGACGTCCAACAATAGTCTCTAACATTGTCATCAAAATTAGCCAATTTTCCCAAACCAATTACCTGCTTTTTTAAACCCCTTGTTTTTTCCCACTAATAAGTCTTAAAACATAACAGGAGCAAAAGACATTGTTTTCAAAAAGATCGCCAACAGGCATAACCCTGATGCACATAGATTCGTGCGTAAACATCTTGACAAATTGTAGTGGTTGACGTTTGTGGAAAGTAGGATATATACTAATGTAAATTCTTATGCCTACAACTCCCACAGTATTAATTCTTCGTAGACGAAAGGCAAATCAAAACACCAAATTGATCATCCAAAGTATGAAATATATTTCGCGGTCAAAATTGTAGTGCAAGGGTGATTGTCTAGTCAAACCGCTGTATGGGCGACCTGTGTGTACCGGATTATTTTCTGTTGATCAATGAAAATTCCGCCAATCCATTCGTCCGGTAATGTACTCGCTCTGGATGTGGGTTGCCTACTACATAGCAAAGCGCCACTGGAATTAGTGGAGAATTTTCTGCTGTCAAAAGCAATATTTCCTGATGGAACCACTGATACTCCTCATCACAGTTTAATCAACCTCTGTCAATGTAGTTGAAGAATAAACGATCAATTCATGGTTGTTTACTCAAAACCAACTCTATATTTTGGCGGTAGTCACCGATACTGCAGTCATCGTTCCATCGTGCGCTGTTTGTTAGAGGACGGAGAAATACTATCAGAAGTATTATTTTGATTAATTGTTATGAAATTTATTCTTAGACTTTGTGCATTATAACCCTATTGTTGGTTCCATATTGGTGCAAAAATATATGATTCTCGAGTCACCTATCTGTGTTCTGCTTTTTTTGTGTTGGTTTTTGCACATTGTTGCTGAAGGTCTTCTAAGGACAGCGTTAAGTTCAGTGTAGGTAGACCTGGACATTGACAACCTCCATTTGTACTAATCTAAACTCTGTATTTATTGGTGGAGTATGTCTCGAGTTATTAAATATTTCCACCTAAACATCTATTACAAATCAGAAACGTGAGGGTGAGAAACAGTATCGACGGCTTTTTTTCAGTTCATAGATCATCATAGTTTCTCTACTCTATAATAATAATGTATTTCATATAAATTTACAAATTTACATGAAAATGCATGCCATTTTTACAGGCACGATCAAGTATGATATAATATTAAATCGTAGATTGTCTACAGGTTAATCGTATTTCAACTGTTAAATATTCGATACATATAATACACTCATTTTCTGAATTAGGCCGTATGGTTATTGAATTGTACAGTTGTCCTCCAGGTTGAGCGGGAAAATCGACTTCATTCCGTTTTCATCCCGTGGTTGTAGGCATACGATAACCAACCAATATTGAGGTAAGTACACCTTTTACAAGGGATTGGAATCTGTTTTAGAAAAATTAAAGTGCTGAGGTGAATCATTAAATTGTAACGAAATAGGTAAGTGCAAGTATCATTAATAAATGCATTAATAAAGGAAACACCCTAGGGTAACAACATTCATTTGCAATGTATAATGCTACAGATATATCACAAACTATCATGATATCCACTTTTGGTTTTAATACAATTATCCCCATGCCAGTTGTTTTTATTTTATACCTTTTTGTGCATTTAGTGCACAACCGTACCCTTCAGAGAGTAGGAGTATAATAAGTAATGAAGAGCTATAAGATGTTAAGTTTAATGGAGTAAAATGAGGATCAAGTAAAGACGTTGTCAGAAAATAAATGAGATAAGACATTGTGGAGTGGTATGAAAAGATCTGACGATAGACAGCAAGTTAATTTATAAGATGCCCCATAAATCTGAGCAGATCCCACATGGTCGCATCTCAACAATAGGCTGGGTGAATGGTATATATTTAAAGGTAGAAGCATGATCTGTCAAGGCGTTCATTGTTATCTTTTTCAAGATAAAGATTTAAGCCCTCATAAAAATCAGAAATATCTTGAGCCTTCAAATTTTTTAATGCTGTTCCTGCAGAATGGGGCGATTCACCTTAGTGACCCCCACCATATCTACTGATCAGCTAACTCCACCCTCCCACCTTTTTTGATGTTAGGCTCTGAGACTATGATTATTATGGTTACCGCAAATATATTGCTTGGTACCAGACATGTTCGTACCCCATATTCCACCTCCCTAGCTTTCTTAATGGGTGCTTCCAATAGGTCCCCGCGTACATCTTTATGAACATATTATATATGTATGCATGTGTCCTAATGAACAGATTACTTTATAAGAAGTCAAAATCCTTGAAGAATAACAAGAATAGGTTTTGTGAATAGTGGAGCAAGATTCAGCAGAACAATATAGTTAGGGTTCAGTATAGGTAGTATGAACTGAAGGTAAGGTCGGTTGGCAGGACCAAGTGTACTAAATTATCATGACAGTTTTATATATAGCAAACATTTGACATTGCAAAGTAACCTGTCTACATATATTATAAAAAGATATTAGCAGAACCAACAAAATTTCAGCATTTTGTTAACAATACTACAGAAAGTTAGTGAGTCTTACAGGTAGCCGTAAAGTAAATCAATCTATGTATAATAAGAGTGTAATACGTGTTATAATTCGTATTATCAAAGAATACATTAGGCTCAAAAACTGAATGTTATAAGGGAAACAAGAGTGATAAACTAAGAGAACATTTGCTGCGTAAGTAACCATTTTAAGTATTTTAATGATAATCTAATTTCAAGTATTGAACATGCATAATTACTTAGTATTATTAGGTTAGTCTAGGAACTAGTGTACTGTCTGTAGTTAAATATTGAAATGTCATGGTTTCACCACTCTACCAGCCGTTGAGATCATTTAGAAGGGCTAGGGTGGACATGTTAATATGTTTTTCTAGGCTCCTTTTGAAACTGTCAGGCCTTTCACAGGATCTAATCTCAGAGGGTAGTTGGTTCCAAAGTTTGCAATATTTAATGGTGAAGAAGTTAGCTCTAGTGGTGAGCTTATGGGTGTTAACCTTGAGAAGGCAGTTATGGTTGCGTAGTCCATACGATTTAGGATTAGCCCAGGTTATAGACGAGTTACTTTTACAGTGCTTTCTTATAACTTTGAATAAGAGAAATAAATTGCACTTCACTCTCCTTAACCATAAGGGTTCTAAGTCCAGTCGAATACATCTGTCAAGGTATTCTATTTGCTGATCATAACCTAATATGCGTTTCGTGAGGAATCTTTGGACACTTTCAACTTTTTTTCTGTCTGCTGATTTAAAGCTACTGTATAAGTGGGCACAGTATTCAAGTTTGGGGCGAATGCATATCTTATATATGGCTAATCTGACTTCTGGGGTGTAAAAGTTGCGTAGCACAAAGCCGGTTAGACGTTTACAATCAGATACCACCTTATTTGCATGTTCAGTAGAAAAATGACTCGGTCGCAGTGCAGCGCGTATGCTGGAAATTACCGCATTGATTGTCTTAGAGAATATCTTGATTAACACCTAAGCAGCAGTGAATTTTATAGTGGCATACAGTGTCTTCATCTCAATTTCCATTATGGATTTCGCGTCATCCGAGGTTCCCACTACGGTTAATTCTCAGCGTTTTCCTCAAATTTCAAGCTATCTCTGTTAATTGTCTCGACGTATTGTTCGTATTCCGTGGAATTAAGAGGTCCATTCGCATGTTACCTCGCAACTTACGAGTTGATAACATTGATAACCCTTCAGTTTTATTTCCGAGTGTAGTATGCTCTTCAGACGCAGTAAATAATTTTCAGTTATGCGGAACTGTTGCAGTAAGACAACATGTATTGCGTGCCTGTCAGTTGTGTAATTGAACTCTGTTTCTTCGTGTTGACATCGAAAGTCCATCCCAATATAGTAAATTCCGGATATGATTATGAGCAATAGTTTGTGCTCGAAACGTCACCAGTTAATATAACTGTACAACACTGTGTGATTTATCAAACTAAAATCTTATCCATAAGGGACTTGTCATTAGTCCGACGCGCCGAGATTATAGTAAAGTCTTTACTTCACTAACATTTGCAACTTCAGTCCCACTTTTGAAATCAAAGAAAAGCAGATTATCAGCTAAGTCTTCACTGTCCTAGTGCATAATGCTATTCAGGCAAAACAGTGTCACACAGGTGAGTGCATGCCTGAAAATCTTTCGAAAAAATTACTGACAGGCATAGTATTATGGAAGAAACAATAAATATGGAGTATCAACGAGTTGCTCACCTTAGCTCTTAGTAGTTCCTCAGACTCCAAAAGATTGATGACCTCCGCGTTATCAACGCATAAAAGCATTCCTGTTAGTTTACTGGCCAATTCGGGATACATCATTTTCACGCGTGGATAAAGATGCTCTCCTAAGGTCCTCTTCTGTTCTTCTTCAGGCAACTGAGCGAGGGCGCTTATAGTTAGCTGGCCTTGATCACCAAGTGGAGTCAGAACGGCAGACAAATTGCCGGCCTGGACAAGAGCAGGCTGAGCTGATACGTTACGCGCTGTCTGATTGAATCTGACGCTTGTTGCGGTGCCAGGCATGTTAGACATACCAGAGTGCAACACAGGCCTTGCAACTTGCGGTGCCACCTGTACAATGAAAAAGATGAGATATGTACTGGCAGCTTGTTGCCAGAGTACCGAGTGATGACTCCAACTCTATTATTATTATTTCTCCCTTGGGTTCCTAGTGGAACATAGGGCTTCAACTGCACGCCTCCACTTGCTTCTGTCTTCTGCTGTACTTTTCACTTGCATCCATGTTAATCCACATTGTTTCAATTCCTCATCACACCATCTCCTCCATGTCATCCTTGGACGTCCCACTCGCCGCTTCCCTTTCGGGTTCCACTCGAGCACTGGCCTGACGCGCGATGTCACCAAGTGGCCTCCTCAGCGAATGTCCAATCCACCTCCACTTTCTCCTGCATATTTGTTCGGCGATTGGTTCCTGTTTTGTTTGTTTCCATAATTTCTTGTTGGTGATTCTTTCCGGCCATCTGATCTTCAGTATAGAACGAAGACAGTTTTTGATAAAGGTCTGCAACAGGCTGTTGGAAATATTCTTGGTGACCCACCAAGTTTCTGATCCGTATAGAAGAACTGACTTGACGTTTGTATTGAAAATCCGAATTTTGTTGTTGATACTGGCTGAGTGACGAAGATTTCCAGATTGGTTTCAGGTTGATGAATGTGTTTCTTGCCTTCCCGATTCTCGATTTGACATCCTCGTCCGTCCGTTTCTCCTGTAGTTGAGACAATGCTCCCTAGATAAGTGAATGAAGTAACCTCTTTCAAATCCCTCCCGTTGATGGTGATTAGCTCTGAATGTTGCTGCTGTTGTTGTTGTAGGTTGGTTATTTTCATAACCTCCGTCTTGTCTATGTTCACCTGGAGTCCTGTCTTTGCTGCTTCTTCGACCAGTTTGTCGGGTTTCGCTTGTAAGTCTTCGATTTTGTGTGACATCAAGCATAAATCATCCACGCGCGAAATCCAGGTCTTCTAGGTTCTTCACGTCAGTCCAGGATATCCCTGTCTTCTCGTTTCCCACTGTCTGACTCATAATCCAGTCCACCACAATTAGGAATATCATTGGCGATAATAAGCACTCTTGTCTGACTCCTGTGTTTACTCCAAACGCCTCGCTGAGTTTTCCGTTGTGGATCACTTGACATGTGCTGTTGTCGTACAGCTGTTGAATAAGGTTGATGAATATTTGGGGTACGCCGTAGTACTTGAGCAGTTTCCAAACTACTTCTCGGTCAACGCTGTCGAAGGCCTTCTCAAAGTCTATAAAGTTTAGGCAGATTTGTTCGATGATAATGCGTAGAGCTGCAATTTGGTCAGAACATGATTTGCCTTTCCTGAATCCAGCTTGTTCTGGTCGGAGTTCTGTGTCCAGTGCGCCCTTTATTCTCTCCAGGATGATGCGACTCAGGATTTTACTTGGCGTCGACAGGAGCATGATTCCTCGCCAGTTCTTGCAGAGTCCTAGGTCGCCCTTCTCTGCCAGTTTCACCAGGTAACCTTTCCTCCAGTCAGTAGGCACCTTTCCCTCTTTCCAGACCTTTTGCAATAATGGAGTCAGCATATCTGCTGTCGTCTCTGGGTCCGCTTTCAGTGCTTCCGGGGGTATTCCATCTGGTCCAGCTGCTTTTCCAGCTTTCAGAAGCTTGATTGCATCCAAGACTTCAGCTTTCGTTGGAGGATTGGTGTCAACTTGCAGTTGTGTACGTGCTGTTGTTGGTATTTCTGGACGGGTTGCAGGTGGTGGTCGGTTCAAGAGTCCTTTGAAGTGGTCCGCCCATTGTTTAATCTGTTTTTCTTCTTTGGTAATTGGGTTCCCTTGGCTGTCTTTTATAGGTTTCACTTGTGTTGATCTCTCCCCGGATAGAGACCTGGTTATCTGATATAGTGTCCTCAGGTCCCTTTTGCCTGCTGCCTTCTCAGCTTCAGTAGCCAGGTTGTCGTAGAATTGTCTTTTGTCCTTCCTGGCACTCTTCTTCACTTCTTTGTCCAGTGCTGTGTAAGTTGAGCTCAGCGTCTCTTTCTCTTGTCCATCTTTGCATTGAATCATTTTCTCTTTCACCATTTTCCTCTCCTCTATTAGCTTCCAAGTGTCCGTTGAGAGCCATTCCTTGTCTTGTTTCTTCTTTCTTCCTAAAACCGTTGAACACGTTTCGTTGAAAATTATCTTCAGAGAGTTCCAATGATCTTCCACGGATGATTCCTCAGTGATGTCACGTAGTGTTTCCTGCTTTGCTCTGACAGTTGCAGTGAAAATGTCCTTTGTGATTGTGTCCTTCAGTTTTTGAGTGTTGAACTTGCATTGTGGCCTATCCCCAGCTATCCTCGAGGCTTTTAGCTTCACCTTGAAAGTCCCTTGTACTAGATAGTGGTCTGAACCCACATCTGCTCCTCTCCTCGATCTTGTGTCCAGTAGGCTCCGTCTCCACTTCCTTGAGATTGAAATGAAGTCTATCTGGTTTTTGGTGTGTCCATCTGGTGAAATCCATGTCGCCTTGTGTATATCCCTGTGTTTGAACACACTGCCACCAATCACCAAATCATTGAAGGCGCAGAAGTCTGAGAAGAGTTCACCATTTTCGTTCATTTCACCGAGGGCCTCACGACCCATGGTGAGTTCTCTTCCTGTATTGTCTCCTCCCAGTTTCGCATTCGTGTCGCCCATCAGGATTTTGATATCGCTCTTTGGGACGTTGTCCATTACTGTTTGTAGTTGACTGTAGAAATCCTCCTTCTTCTCTTGTTCTGAGACGTTTGTAGGCGCGTAGCATTGAATGATTGTTACCTTTTTTCCTTTTGAGTTGAACCTGGCTGTCATTATCCTGGAGGAGATTGGTTCCCACTGCATGAGAGCTTTAGCCGCTGTTGGTGACATCATGATGGCTACTCCCTCGGTGTGTTCGTGATCGTCCTCTGGGTGACCGGAGTAGATTATTGTCTCTCCAGTTGGTAGTTGGCACCTTCCGCATCCGTTCCATCTGCTCTCGCAGATTCCCAACACTTCTATTTTATATCTCCTCATTTCTGCGGCTACCTGAGCAGTCTTTCCAGTTTCGTACATTGTACGAATATTCCACGTCCCCATCCTTATTTTTGCTTTCATCGAAAGAAGGCACATCGGCTGACTGGCTTCCCGAAGGCTTTCACCAGCCTGCGTCATTTCACTTCCCCGATTTCGGCGAAAAATAAGGTTATTGTTTATATTATTAGAATTTTGAATATATTTGTGCGTTGAAGTTTTAGTAGCAATTTGGTTAAGTTTTGGGGGTGGAGTTGCTAGCACCACGCCCCAACCCTCCCTCTTTATCCGGGCTTGGGACCGGCTAGAATACAAGTGACCTAGCAATCTAGGCGAGGTTACTCCAACTCTACGTAAACTAAAAAGTATATAAACATCCCCACATATCAACAATAACGAAATCTGAAAAATTATCACTATTTCCCCGATTTTGAGACATGACGCTGGTTCCTGTTGATTGCCGTTATCTGTATATGAATGGCACTTACTGAGGCAGAGGACTATATGTTTCGTTCGTTGTGTTTCAGAACGTACCACTCACCTTCAGCAACAGATGTTCCCAATGAATTTCCTGTTCAGGTCTCTTAAACAAACGGTTCTAATTATGGGATCATGGAGGCAGCCAACACGATCAACGGCATCTCAGGGTGGATACCACTGTTGTCAACCAGTTACTGACGCATGTGACACAGCAACAAACATCATGACAAAACTGTGGCACTACGAACACTAAAAACTCACGTATTTGCTACATGTAGCGTCATGAGAAGGGCCTAATAAAATGTAATTAACTAGTTTAACTTACACGCACGGCAGAATTAGCAGACGGTGGACCTGCAACCACAGATGCTGCAGTTGGCCGTTGATTCAGGCCTCCAGTCGTCCCAGTGAGCATTTGCTGCATAACTACTCCTTGTCTGCCAGATGCTTGTTGTCTTTGCTGATTTGCAGCCTGGTTTAGGACATTTGCGTTTTGCAAGTGAGGATTCGTGGGCATCGTGGACATTCCGTTTGGCACCATGGGACGGTTAACACCAGGTGATCGTAGTTGAGTGAATGCCGCCATGTTCGTTGGGATAGCAGCAGGATTGTGTGCACCAATATAGTGACCAGCAACAGGTGGCCTGTTTGAAACCGCACCGAATTGGGCCGGTATGCCAGGTCGATTCCAGCGTGGTTGGGAGCCGAGAACTGCTCCAGTTGGATGGTAGAATCTAGGTGGTTGTTGGAATGCAGATGGGAAATAATTGTGTGGTGTCGCGTGGCCCGGTACTGCAGGCATTATTTGACCAACCGAGCTTCTATACTGTGCCATTCGCTGCTGATGTTCTGCTATCAGTTGTGCTCTACGATCTTCCTTCCTTTGAGCTAAAGCAACGTACAGAGGCTTGGAGCCAATAATTGTTGCATTCATTTCCGAAACTGCCTTTGCAGTCTGAGAAGGGTCGGCGAAGCAGACAAAACCGAAGCCTTTAGACCTATTATTTGCGTCTTTCATCACCTTAGCACTTGTGATGGTTCCATAGGCGCTGAATGCTTCTGCGAGTCGTTTGTCGTCAATGTTGTCGTCTAGGTTTTTGACATACAAATTAACTTTTGACGTATAGTTCGATTGACGTTCAGCACGCTGTTTTTCTAGTCTCTGTTTCAACTCTTCTTGGCGTTCCTCTTTCCGTTGAGCTCGAGCACAATAAAGAGCTCTCCCTTCAATCTCCTTCCCATGCATAGTTTTAACGGCGTTTTCAGCATGATCTGGGTCGAGATAACACACAAATCCAAAACCCTTCGATTTTCCATCGCCATCTTTCATTACACATGCACTTTTGATCTCTCCAAACTCAGCAAACATCTGTTTCAATTTTTCATCATCAGTCTCCGGAGGAAAGTTCTTGATGTACAGGTTGTTAAACCTTAGCTTCCTGGCTTGTGATTTACGCTCAACCTTAGGTATGAACTTGCCAACGTAAACAACACGATCACGAATAATTTTGTTGTTGATCTTTTCGATAGCACGTTCAGCGCACTCTTCTTTTTCGAAGTGAACAAATCCATACCCTTTAGATTGGCCGTTTTCATCCATTGCGATCTAAAGCATAATATAATTAAGTATTTGAGACATACTTTGCACGACAAAATCCTCCCGAAGTAGCCGAATGTGTCGTAAAGCTCCTTCTGCACGACAGACTTATCCAAGTTCTTAATGAATATATTCCCCTTCCCGGACTTTCGTAGAGATGGATCGCGTTGAGACCACATAATCCTTATCGGTCGCCCCATTAGAGGCTCACAGTTCAACACTTCCAGAGCACATTCAGCTGCAAAGCTCATTTTCGTAAAGGAAACTTACCGTGCTTTGGATCCACGAAGTTGACATAGCCGTACCCCAAAGATTGACGAGTAACTAAGTCTCGGCAAATACGAGCGCTGAGGACCGGACCGATCTTCGAAAATTTGGCTTGCAGTGTGGTGTCAGTAGCCTGCGGATGCAGATCCCCGACATACAAAGAAGAGTTCATTATCCCCTGACTAGGTGCAGTCGCAGCCATGTTTTTTTTGGTTTTTTTAAGTTTTATGAATTTTTTTTAACGTTTTATCTGTTTTTTTGTAAATTTTCAGCGTGCTGCCCTACGAGCTGCACACCAACTTGAGTTTCCCGGACAGTGGTAGGATGTGACGAGTTAAACAAAACAACACTAGGAAGAGTGACGTGTAATGGATCGAAAATTGAATTATACAAGATGTGAAATGAGTTTTTAAAATGTTTGCATAAAACGGGAAATTAGGGTTTTCAGGGGGTGGTGGTGAGTGCAACCTTTGGACTCAGTGGTTGGTTCACATATAGTGAACTTGTTTGTTATGTTTAAATACCCCCAAAGTCTACTTTCCAATCCTATAGGTTCACAAGGAAAACGTCCAGCTAATGACACATGAACTCACCAGAAACCTACCACTGATTGTGGTTACTATTCGACAATGAATGGTTGGCATACAGCCCAAGTTTAACACTGACGAGTTAGGAAAGGGCGTTTTAAAGTTATATCTTTACCAGCCAAATATTCAACTACACAGTGACCTCATAATCAGAAGCCAAGAGTATTGGAGACTCATTTGATCGGTATCCCCAAACACTTGGGAATCTCAAAACACCTAGATAATTATCCGAAACACGATTCATACCCAACCTGTAGATCACCACACCAGTGACAGTTTAAGCCTGAAAACCATTACAGACCACACAACTAGCGAACACATACTTATTGAACCAGATAGCACTTTCTGCCACTCTGACAGATTACATCGCAGTTACCCATTGATAAAACGGGCACATTCTCAGTTGGTTAGAGCCTCCATGCCCACCTTACGTCTCCATAGGTACCAGCCATCGCGATGGATAGGACGAAATAGTCTCTCAAAACAAGTGTGAACTCGGCGAATGTAACGACTTTGAAGGTTTGAACTTGTTGCCACCATCATGAAGAACACCAACCACTGCCACATTCTGCCCACTTTACAACTAACAATACAACCACCAGACAAAGTGTGACCGAACAGCATTGCCTAAGTTGGCCACCACCAATATTCTGAAGGGGGAAGGTGACGTTCTACACTTGATAACTAGAGGAAGTCTATGAAACCTATATGACACACAAAACAATTTATCTAAATACACCTAGACAGTTGGCTGCAATTCTCTATATGCTATCCTCTTTCAAACACTGGCTACACCCAAATATCTGGACAAAGCGAGAACGAATGTATGCATCCGAACCAATCAAGGACACCCGGTGTGAAATTCTTAGTACGTCAAAATGATCGATGTGCCATCACCACGCTCGCGAATAAACCATCTGCAGTCGGGACAGATATTTGAGTGTCAGCAACGAATATAATTTCCAGGTAAACATTGAAAACTAACTTCGGCTATCCATTCTACTGCATGAATCTCACTGTCGAACACCTGCTTTACTATACGTGATGTTCTAGCCACCGAAAGGGTGACGTGGCCTTACCTTGGGATCTACTGGTCTTCTGCCTCCATGGGACCACTAACACCCATAGGGAGGAACATCTAAGCGATCTAAGTCTCGACAGTGCGGTCTGAGCCTGATGGAAACCATCTGGGAGTCAGCGATGTCATCTTGAATCCTCATGTGCCATAATTTTCACTATGTAGTAGGCTCAGAACATAAAATTACAAAGGACGTGTTAAACACTGCACCTTAATGTGGAAATCTCAACTCCACAAAGTCTTTATCTGACTAGCGAGTTAAACCCAAGGCTAGTCTGGATTTTATTACTTACTGCCAAGTATAGACGTGAGCGCACAGTACTATGGCGTTGGACTTGTCGTGTCGCGACGCTATGTGCAGCCGATATCGCCTGCAGAAATGGACAGCAGTAAAAATTAAACCTAGTGATACACAAACTACTGGAATCTTGAAACCATATAGTGGAGTTTGATTATCGATGGGTAGCACTGTAGAACAACGAAACTTCACTTTCCTAATTTTAATTGGCGTCCGCGGTGAGAGTAACACAGTTAGCTTGGGATGATACAGATTCAGAAGTCTTACAGTAATATTTATTAGGTCGCTAAGAAAACTCCCCGTGTGTCATGTATAACGAGTGCTTGACGGGGTAATTGCATTTGGTATTCGACCGACCGATTTTCAGGAATATACAACTGGACACCAGTACAGAAGACATCTGAATAATAACCCTACTAGCGTGTACTTACAGCGGTTTTATCAACTGAGGTATTCAAGATCATACTTCGAATGACTGTTATAAATGTGGTTTATGAATTAGGAATTGGGTATAATAAACAAATTACTAAGCGGAAGGCTGAATGGAACTTAGTGATGCCCATATTACTGGACTCTCGAGACCGCACAATCGACTCTCATCATTGGTTAGCAAAATTGTATAACAGAAATTTACTATCCATATTATAATTCATATTATAATTCATATTATCATTCAACATTCGGTAAACGGGAGTAAAAAACAGATAACGGTTAACACCATAAGGATAAGGATTTATAAGTTCATAAGTTAAATATAAAACGAATGTGCCAATATTCTTAAGCAAACAAGAGCCTGTGCTGATCAGTAACACGAACAAAGTGAGAAACAAGGGACTAAAAATGAAATGTGACTGAAAACAGTTTACCCAACTCTCAACGACTGAGACTGGCATATGACTATGAGTAAATAAAGAATTCCACGGAGAAACGACACCTCGAATTTAATTGTTTGGGTCCTCAAGTTTTATTGTAACTGGAGCAACAGATCCTGGGCCAATCGTGCCATCACCATTCTGACCTGGGTTAGCATGTCTGTCATCAGCAGCATCACGTTGTTGATTCTGGTTGGCCCTCAGCACGCTAATGCCTTCCTCACACTGAAAACAAAAAATAGTTTCAAAGGTAGTTGGTGAATTCGCTAGCAGTTTAAAAGGACAAAGTAACAATGACCGGTCGGTCCTTAAAATTGATCAGATTACCAAACACCAGCCCTCAAACCTCAGTATTTTTGCACTCGTCATACTATGCGACTTAACGTACACTGAAATATCACACTATACAGAACGTGCTACGTGTCAGTTGACAGCATCCTCGTGCTATTTATGTCGGTTGACCTCTAGTGATGAGGGACAATTGGTAAATGCGTCACTGTCGATCTAAGGCATAAGTACACTAGGGTGGGGACATTGAAATGTTGCGGGTTCGCGTGTGTAGAACCGCTCCAAACCTTGAATTCACCCGGTTAACTCTCCCCCGTCATTTCATCACTTCGAGCTGGTGGCAACGTGAGCTTACAGACCCGCTATCTACTGCATTTCTCTACAAAATATTTATCTAGAGTTTTCTAACCTCAGCATAATACAAGCCCATACTATGCTGAAAATAGATGTCAAGGCGAGCCTTATCTTACTGCTACATTACTAAACCATACCAGGTCATCAAACTACAGTTATCGCAAATGCGAAACAATGAGGGTGAATAAAGATACTTAGAAACGGACAGCTCCGACATTGGTGCAACCATCAACCTGTTCAACTTGGAAATTCTGACCATTCTTATTATTGTGGTTTTCGATTATTCTCTTTCCTCCGATCAGCGGTGTCCATGATAGTACCATCTATCAACAATCTTGTCGTTTTGAAGTCGAACAAATGAACCTCACTGCACCTATTTGCGTTGTGTGTTGCAATAATAAGCTGCCACGCGGAAACACTCCTTCAGAAGAATAAAAACCACATATTCAGAGCAAAAGTTCGTCGAGTCTTCCGACGGTTGTAGATTTAGGATATACAGGCAGTGAGTGGTCTAGCATCGGCAATCCCCGTTAGTCCATCAATCTTTCTACCAAAGGACTTATTGATATAAGTATAAAACTTAGGCACTGTGGTAGAGTATAACTCCATTATGGATAAGATTTTAGTTTGATAAATCACACAGTGTTGTACAGTTATATTAACTGGTGACGTTTCGAGCACAAACTATTGCTCATAATCATATCATATATATCATATACTCCCCATTTATTTTGGCTTCTCTCGTGTTCTTCTGTTTGTTTTATTTAGCGCACGCCCACTTTTTTAGGGTTTACTTAACTTTCGGTAATATTTTTGATTTTTTAGTTACCAAATTTATTCTCTTTATTTTGCTGATGTGCGATTTTATTTGGTGTTTTGTGTAACGATCTCTTTGTTTTTTTAATTTTTTTGAATATTTTGATTCCGTAGCATCTTTCCATACTGACGTGTATATTTGATGTTTTGCTATTCAATATATTTGCTTCGGTTGTTCTGGGAATATCTTGACCAATATTCCGTTTAGTTTGTTTTATTGACTGTCTGTTAATTCAGTCGGAAATCTCAGTGGAACATTTATTCATCCCTCTCATCATATGAATATGTGTCTTTTATTCTGTGTTACAATCGTGGACACCTATTTTAACAACCTTGCTGTGGTCAATTGAATGTTGTGTATGTTGTGTCATACAATGTAGGTATGATTTATCATTATGAGCAATAGTTTGTGCTCGAAACGTCACCAGTTAATATAACTGTAC